GGGACGCGGGGCCCCCAGCGCGCCCTGGCGTGCGCTCCCCCGCGGAATCAACGACTTTGCCTCTCTGACTCTCTCGTAGAGAAGTCTGCTCAGAAAACAAAATCGCCACGACCAAATACCCGTGCCTGAAGGCTTCGGGCGAGCTCACCACGTGTTTCAGGTAAGCCCGGGCTCCACCGAGTCGCCGCAGTGCGCCCTGGCTGCTGGGAAGGAGGGGGTTGGAGGTGCGCCGGGGGACCCGGGGCCGCGGGGGTGCTGGGAGAGGCTGGGTGAGTTCTCCGTGGTGCAGACCTTTGTGTGTGTTCCGGGCTACAGCGACAACGGGCACGCGAGAAGTGTGCACCTAGAGGCTGTGCCCTGCGATGCAGAGGCTGTTGACTGGTTTCTGGAATACTTGCGTGGTGGTTGGAGGGGAAGACGCTGAAAACTCATAAGGAGAGTGGATTGGATTGTGGTTGTAAGCAGTGAGGCAAAGACGAATGACTGCTTTTGTATTTTGTTTTGTAAACACAACGTCAAGTAAATACTTGGCCCTCAGCTGCCTTGTGACCTTCTACCAGGACAGAGTGTAATACTGCCGGGGCCTCTGTGGGCAAAGGAGTGGGGAGAGGACTGGGGACTGTTGATACGGTTGTGTTGAGTGAAAACAAAACACGTCGAGATTGTTGAGCCACAAGAAGGGGAACAGTCTCTTTCCTGAAACATGGCCCGCAGCTCACCTGGGTGCTTGTTAAAACTAAGCCTGGATAGAGTTAGGGAATCTGTAGTTTGGAAAAAGCTCCCCAGGTGGTTCTTTTTCAACAAAAGAAGGGGGAGGCACTGTTCCCTGCTTGCAGCTTTTTGGAAGTGAGGGTTGATGTTTTTCACTGTTGTATTCTTGGCTTGTTCCCACGCTCTCCCTGGATGGAAGAGGCATGCCCCCATAAGCGTTTACTAGTTGCCTGCTTTTTAAAGGTGCTGTGGAAGATACTGGAATCCCCCACTCACACCGGACTCCGTCTCTGTCTTTGAGAGGCGTACACTGTTTGGGGTGCTGAGATAAATACTGAGTAGTACTAGGTGACGCTAGGACTCCCAGAAGTGAACCAAAAGAAAGATTTACTATTTATAATGTCAGTGAAGGAATCGACCATAATGTTCTCAGCTGTAAGAAACCTTATTTCATGTCTCCACAAGCTCAGGTGTAAGTGGTTTCAAGGCTGGTCAGTTAAGTGGTACAAAGGCACAGTCAGCTATATCATGTACCATGCTTTAAAATCTGTTCTTGGCGGTGACATGACGAACTTTTAGGTGAATTGACAGTAGCTCCTTGGGAAGGGCTGCCTTCTCCCGGACATGGGCGGTGAACACTGAACAATACGTGAGGGTTGGGAAAGGGGGAAGTGTGTTCAGTTGTCAGGTAAAGACTAGAAGAGGTTAACTGGGTAAGCAAGGTCACCCAGCTGGTGAAATGACCTGGTGGGGCTGGCACCAGAATTGTTTGCCTGGTTCCAGTCCTGTGTTCCATCCACACAGCCACAGTATTTGTTCAGACACTTTGTTTTCCTGTCACAAGTATGAAGCCTCTAACTTAATGTGGAAAGTGTCCCTGAGATGGTTTGCTCACTTGCTCAGTCCCTGAAGGTCAGACTGCACGTAAATCAGTGACAGTTACAGGATGCANTGAAGCCTCTAACTTAATGTGGAAAGTGTCCCTGAGATGGTTTGCTCACTTGCTCAGTCCCTGAAGGTCAGACTGCACGTAAAACAGTGACAGTTACAGGATGCATGTCCAATTTTCAGAAACCATGGGTGCCTGATTAGTGTCCTAAAGCTCACTTCAGTTGTTAGGCTGTTACTGTCATTTNACTGCACGTAAATCAGTGACAGTTACAGGATGCATGTCCAATTTTCAGAAACCATGGGTGCCTGATTAGTGTCCTAAAGCTCATTTCATTTGTTAGGCTGTTACTGTCATTCCCCCCCCCCCAGATTTTTAAAACAGCAGGGTTTCTTTCACACCTAGACTCACAAGAGACACTAGCAGTGTCTTGATGTGTTTTCACTAAGAGGAACAGGAAAGGATGTTTCCAGCTGGAGAAAATGGTCCCTGTGAATATTAAGTTATTTGGACTTAAGTTACTCCCTTTATGGGAGTCGAGAGTCCTGTGTGTACTCCATAGGTTTTATACTACTTCCATAATTTAACTTTTTCCTTTGCATTCTCCTTTGTTTTCTACTTCAGGTTTTTAAAAAAATTAAGTTATAAATAACATTAAGTACACAAATCTAAATTCTGTGGTTACATACGTAAACACCCATGCAACCTCCACTCGGGAACAATACAGCATTTCCAGTACTCCAGACGGCTGTCGCATGGCATCCAATCAGTACACCCCAACAAAAGTCAGTAAGTTCGTAAAGACAAAGTTGGTTGGCAGTTGCTGCCCCCCACTTTGTTTGGAATCCTGCGAATGGAGGAATACTGTGTGCCTTGGCTTGAATTCTGGTTGTCCTGGCTCTGTAGAGATCTTGCTAGTTAGACTGGTCTGGAAACCAGCCATGTGGGCATCACCTGGAAGCTTGTTAGAGTCCTGGACCTCTAGAACCAGAATCTTCAGGTTAATGATGTGCTTAAAGCTGGGGGAGCTTCTGCTGTAGAAACCAGGGTCCTCAACCTGGGTCATGGTGCAAACCCATCTAGATAGATCCTCAGAGGAACGTGGAGGCCTCTGCAGATGGAGCACATCCACCTTAAGCCAGACTGAGAATCAGCCTTCCAGGAAACTGGCTCTTCAGCTCTTAGATGGCCCTTAATTAAGCTGTAAGTAAAACAGCAAAGCTACTACTCTGGGAATGTGACCTGATTATGTAGAGTCCCACTGTTTACCACATGTCTTTTGGTGAACAGCTTTAGCACAAGAGAAAGAACTTCTTGAACTTGTTGATAATGACTTAAATCATTGATATGGAAGATGGGTTTAGTACTAAAATGAGTATGGTAGATGCAATAAACCTGATATCCTACATGAAAGGATATGGAGATGAAAAGATGGGCTGAGAATAACCTTTGTTCTGTGCTTTCCTTCCCCTGCACATTCCCACATGGCTTCATCTAAGCGTCTTTCCACTTTAGGCTTTTGTAATATGGTAAATAACGACAATTGGAGGATTATGTATTCAGCACTGCTCTATGTGCTTTACACTTATCTCTAATTTTCAGAGCCACACTGTAACATTTGTGTTCTCAGTTTTACAGAGGAGGGAACCCAAACTCAAAGGGATTAAGTAAACTTGCCCAGAGTCAGAGTTAACACATGTGAGAGCCAAGATTAAAATCCAGGTTTGTCTGACTTAAGCCTGGGCCCTTTCCTCATCCTAGAGGTGTCTACAGATGAGGCTGAACTTTCCAGAACTTGGGACCTAAGTAAGGAAGATTATAAACTCAGGTGACTGGAAATTCAAAAGACAGTTCCATAGAGAACTCCAAGCATCCACCATGACCATAGTGGTTCTGAATTACCATTGCCCTTAAGATCTGTCTTAAATAATTGACTCTGTAATATCATTATACACAGAATTGGTTCATACATGTAGAGCTTTCCTTCCTTATGGGATTTTTAACTTAATCACCGGATCCCTGTCTCTACAGACTCTCTACCCCAATGTGCATTGTGCCAATACCCAAAACTTAATGAAGTCGACTTGTTGAATGAATGCCCATGACAGCTGAACAAAAGTTTATATTGGCATTATCGTCTGACATAAGGCATATTCTCTTCCAGCTAAGATTTTGGGGTTGGTGTATGACCTAGCTGAGTTCATTTTAGGCAAACCAAGCATATGAAGCTATCATGGCATTCCTCCTCTTGTGGCTATTAAAGTTTTTCCCCTAAGCTGACTTTCTTTTTCTCTGACCCAACCATGCAGTGTGAACAAAAGGTTTGAGTTTACTTTCTTTCAACTTTATTGGTCTCATATCAATAAAATGAGATGTTAAAGGCTTTTTAAAAATAAAAATAGGGAATACATAATGTTATGTGTAGGAAATGTTAAATCCAATTTTTATTGAGTGAGGCTGTGTCTAAAAACATACTAGTTAACTTTTTTGATTTACTGAACATCTATCATGAGCTTAAAATAGTCCTAGAAAATGAGAAAAGAATAAGTTGCAGTCCCTGGGTCTGTTTATAGACTCAACTTTCAGATACGCCTTTGAAACTGTAACCAGCACACATAGTACACGTTTGAGTTCAAAGTCATGGAGTTCATACCATACTACCAATGATGGAGAGATTCAAGCATCTAGGAACGAGCTTATAGGTAAGAAGACAACATTGTGTTTTAACATGGCTCTTTAACATAGTGTGTTCAGTGTTTAAGTTGCATTAGGTACGATTTTCAGCTTTGGGGTTCATGGACCTCCAAGTGGAGGCCCTCGGCTATATTTATCCAGGCAGCGGTATCTTACTAGGCACTGCTTTTGCTCAGGGTCATGTCCCCATAGGAAGTAATCACACAGGGGTGCAAAACCTCCCACTTTTCTTTGAGATAATAGGATTTGGCAACATTGTTGTATTAAATCTTGGAAGTTAATGTGAGATTTCTACAAATGTGTTTACTTGGAATTTGGAGGTTAAGAAGGTCACGTAATTAGAGCAGCATTGCCAGATTGAGAGCATCGGACTGTAGCTAAGGCTGTGCTGGGGGAAAGGCTGGAGGATGTCCTATCTGGTAGGTCACCGCGTTCCTACAGAGGGCTTTGGTAACGTCAAACACAATGATCGAAACTCATCTGGGTTTGCGTTCCAGCTCTGCTAGTGTTGTGACCTTGAACAGTTTCTTAATCTCTCTGCTTTCGTTTTCTCTTTTGTAAAGTGAGGATCACATTAGTATAAAAGTTATAGGGTTGCCTTGAAGCGGAGACGAGTTAATATATGTAAGAAGTACTCAGACTGTTACCTCTTGTGATCCCTGCTGCACCTCCCTACATCTGGCGTGGTGCGTGCACATAGTAGATGCTCCATGGACATCTGAGTTTCATTTGAGTTTTGGGCTTTGCAGTAGACATTTTTGAAAGTGCAAATTCAGAAACGGTGTTTATGTACAGGTCACACATCAGTTGTTCCTAGGCGCCTTTCCAAATGCAGGGTGGCCCAGACCAGGAAAATGACAAAGAAC